GTTTTATACAAATTCAAATTGTATATAATTTCTCTCTTTCTCGTTTTATACAAATTCAGATTGTATATAATATCTCTCTTTCTCATTTTATACAATTCGATTCAATTGTATATTCCCTGCCCAAGTCTCTTTTGCCTTTCTCCCTTTCTCGTTTTATACAAATTCAAATTGTATATAATCGTCCTATACACTTATAATTATACTTTATACACTTCTTTTTATACAATTCTTTGCCCAAGTCTCTTTCTCTTTCTCGTTTGATACACTTCGTTTTATACAATTCGCTTCAATTGTATATGTATAGCGAATTATACATATATTTGTTTGATATGGAGCGCAATTATGTAAACTTTATTATTGCATACAAATATGAATTTTATGTTTGATATATGTGAAAGTTGTTCAGTTTAAATTTAACCAAATTTTGAGAAATTTTAGTAAAAGTTACTTAACAGCGAAATTGAATTAAAAAAATCAAAAAATTCAAAAATACAAATTGATGAATGCTTAAATTTATCATCATATCTAGAGACGTATCTAGAGGGGTTATGTGGGTTCACGTGAACCCATGCTTCTCTCTTTATATCGTATATTGTAGTGTTATATTTTTTTTAAAAATATTTAGATATACAAGTGTGAACCCACATTAACAGTAACATATAATAATTTGATGATGGTTGGGTGCACCTCTCTTAGCAAAGATAGAAATATATATTTTATATCTATCCTTTTGTTTAGTAACACCCCTCCAAGTGTTATCAGTAACACTTTTGGCGTTTCAATTAATTTTTTTTTTGCTTTAATTTTCAAAATTTTCAAGTGTGTTATAATATTCAAAATTCCTTAAAAAATTTACAATAAAAATTAGCATTGTAAATATTTTATATAATTAAATCAAATGTGTATGTTAAAATTTAAAACTAGTAGTATTATATATGTTAGACACTTGGATTTATAATTTTTAAAATTTAACAATTTAATGTTAAGAACGAAAATATCAAATTGATATAATAGTGAACCATCCTTTTAAAATTCTGAATACGTGTAACTCATCTTTAAGTGAATGCCCAAATATAGGAACGGTACAAAGTCAAATGCATTAAAAAGTTGAGATTACTTGCAACCAACTTTACTTACTAACGTTGTTGGTGAAGTTATGTAGCAAAAGCAAATTATTAACTAATTCCTCAATTTGCTAAGTATGGGAATGCCTAGAAGTCTAGAACTAGAGAAGACATGTTATTATATGTGAGAATGAACAAATAGTGATATTCATGAGTTCAATGAGTCAATGTTTTATTAGTCATTAGAAATTTATTATTTATATTTATTTTAGTAGATTTTTTTAATTATATATGCTTCATAAGAATCTAGAAATGAATACACGACATGAATTTATTGAATTTTATATTTTCGTTGCTAAAGATAATTTTTTATATGTAAAAATTCATTAAAATGATAATAAATAGTAGATACAAATTCATAATTTTAAAAAATATAATAAGTATATTTTTCAAAAAATTTAAACAATCAAATATGAAAAAAAATACTCCATACCAAGCTAGCGTTTGGCCATAGATTTCCAAATATTCTTGGCAAATATTATTTGAGTCAAAATTTGGGT